ACAGTTGGAAGTTTGAAAGGTAAGTTTAGGGATAGATTGTCCTGGACAAAATCTATGTGGTCACTGGGAGTTGAAAATGACTTGGTGGCACATAATCAGTCAAACAGTCAATCAATCAATCAAACAATCAAACAAAATTATATATCACAAATATTTGTCAGTGATAATTAATTTGCTAATAATTGTTATTCCATTTTTGTCTTTCAGAGTGACATCCTCCTGGCACTTCTTGAATGAGTGTTATGATGTTCAGAAGGTGATTTATGGCCTGCACTAAAACAAGGAATGTTTATAGAAGCTGCATTAAAATCTGAATCCATCTTTAAGACTTCTCCAAATGTTTTGGTGTGATGGTTCTACAAAATTATAACCACCGGCAACTAGTTTCACTTATCTCAGTTGGGGATCTAATCCAACTGAAAAGGTTCATGCAACAAAAGTATTACTGTATTTACTTAAACTTTAAATGCTGAAGGTACGGTCAGTAGTGCAGGTTTGTATCACTGCTAACAACAGAAAGTCTCCTTATATTAAGATACATATAAATGGCTCTGCAATGAAATGCAGAGAGGAAGCTGCAAGAATTGAATGCAGTAGAGGTAAGTTGGACAAAGGAGCTTTCATTTTAAGGCTCACCAAAAGTCTGTAATAGTGTGTGCATCTATTAAAAATATTTGTATTCATAGGCTAAATTTTTAAATTTCCATTGCAGTGATATGAAGACACTGATCAAAAAAGTCATGAAATACTTTAAGGATTGAAAAGTATGATAAAATTTTGTTCTTCACTGATCAAAGATGGAATATTAATACCTTGGCAAACTGCTTCACCTGTTTCCAGTTCCAACCAATTCAGTAGGCGGAGCTTCTGATTCTACACTGTATATTACAAAGGACGCAATCACCAACTATTGATTATTTAGAATTATATTTGAAAAATAATGTTTATCACTCTGTTATGTATTAAGCAATTCAAAAGTTCTGTTATAAAGAAACGGTAATCTGATTACTTTATTTGAATGATAGACTAAAACATATAAGGAACGGTTGCTAGAATTGGGTATGTCTAGTTTAACGAAGAGAAGGACAAGGGGGGACATGATAGCAGTATTCCAATACCTCAGGGGCTGCCATAATGAAGAGGGAATTAAGCTATTTTCCAAAGCACCTGAAGGCAGGACAAGAAGCAACGGGTGGAAACTAATCAAGGAGAGAAGCAACCTAGAACTAAGGAGAAACTTCCTGACAGTGAGAACAATTAATCAGTGGAACAGCTTGCCTCCAGAAGCAGTAAATGCTCCAACACTGGAAGTTTTTGAGAGGAGACTGGACAGCCATTTGTCCGGGGTGGTGTAGGGTTTCCTGCCTGAGCGGGGGGTTGGACTGGATGACCTCCAAGGTCCCTTCCAACTTTACTACTATTATTATTATTATTACTGTCTGTCTATGTAACTTTAAGCCTGTTGTTTTAGTCAGGAATGACTATTTTAAACTGATTGGCCGCTGCCTAGTGGCGGTCCGTATAAATATAAGTCAGGCAGCTGCTAGAGCTTGCTTCTGTGAGAACCTAATAAAGAGCTGTTATTTCAACTCCGTGTTTTCAATGCCTCACTGTTCTCACTACACAACAGTGGCGATGAAGATAGAATTATGCAGCTAGGAAGAAGAGAGCTAAGTCACTAAAGGGGTAAGACAAGGCATCAGCACCCTGGTTGGAACAGCGTTCCCCACTTCTACCTGCCAGTATGCAAACGCTGAAGGTATTGCCTTCCTAAGGGACCCGTCCCTAGGAAATTCACAGAAGGCCTAGCAGCATAAGGCATTGGAGACACCGAAACAGCCAAACCATGGCCAAAGTCAGCAAGCTTTCAGAGTTCGACGTAACGCACCCCGAATGATGGAGTTCGTACGTCTCAAGAGTAGAAAACTACTTCAGAGAGAACCAGGTCAGAGAAGATATCTTAAAAGCTGCAACTTTGTTGTGCATGTGTGGCTAAGCCACCTTTGATATAGCGGAGAACTTAGTCACTCCTGCTTCATTGGAGTCAGTCACCTTCACTGACTTGAAATGAAGACTCAAGGAGCACTTCAAACCAGGTCTGTCTATTATCGCATACAGACATGCATTCAAGATGAGAGAGCAGCAGCCAGGTGAAACCATTGCTGAATTCGTGGCTGCCCTATGCCAAGAATCTCGGATCTGCGAGTTTCCCAACCTAGAGGACAGGCTCTGGGACCGACTGGTATGTGGCCTGAGAAGCAGGGACTTACAACAGAGACTGTTTGCTAAAGAGACCCTGACATTCCAGGATGCACTGAAAGAAGTGATGGCAGAAGAGGCCGCAGGTGAAGCTGTCAAGGCTTTACATCTCTCAAAGAATTTCTCCAGCTAGATGGCTGTGCTTCATGAAGAATCAGAGAGAACAGAAGACCCAGACGTTGACATTAAGATTGACCGGGTGCAGAAGATCCCAGAAAGAAGGCAGTGGCCGCTTGACAAGGCAGTTCCCTTTCCTAGCTGTCTTGGGTGTGGTGGACGACACCAGCACTCAGAATGCCAGTTCTGCGCAGCAAACAAGGTCACATCGCTACCGCCTGTAAAGGTTGCCAGAGGGAATTGCCTCGCGAAGAATTCCCCAGGAGAAGTAATGGGGCCTCAGGGCAGAATTGAGTAGGATATTGCTCCAGAAGGAGGAGCATCCTCAGAATTGGAGCCCGTCGCCCCCTAAAAGAAAAGCTTAGATTAAAAGTCAAGCTGCAAGGAGTTCCATGCACCATGGAACTGGACACTGGATTAGCTGTGTCTATAATCTCTTATAAGACTTTTAACTTCATCTGCAAAATGGCGGAAAATGAGTCAGACTTGTTTTGACAGATTTTCAAAACTCCCGTGTAGTAGTTAAAGGAGAAGCTATGATAAATGTTATTTTCAAAGAGTTTGAGGGTTCCCTCAGTGTCGTGGTAGTGGAAAGCCAGTGAACAGGTCTGATCAGCCTAGACTGGTTTTATGCCCTGAGCATCCATGTGACTGGCATTAACAGAACCCAAACAATGGATTTGGCAGCTGTCTGCTAGGAGCTTGCGGATGTATTCAGTCCCACCTTAGGGAAGTACAAAGGAGCACCAATCGCTCTCCACCTTGATCCAAGGAATGCCTGCAATTCTCCCTTTGACTTTGGTCTGGGAGCCTGTAAAATAGCTTTGAGCTTTGAATCAGCTGGGTGTATTCCAGTAGCATCGATCCGGAAACCTAAGAATTCTGTGGAGTTGACTCCAATTTGACATTTTCCCCTTTTTAGCTTCATCCCTGCTTGGCAGAAGTGCTGAAGCACAGCCCTTAAACGTTCTGCAAGTATCTCCGCTGATTCCCCAGCTATTAAAATATCATCGAAGTAAGGGCACACCCCTGGAATGTTTTTTAACATGCGTTCCATCACACTCTGAAAGAGCCCTGGGGCTACACTGAACCCAAACTGCAGGCAACAAACCTGGAATGCCCTTCTATGGGTAACTATTGTTTGAGCCTCAGCAGAGGCATCATCCACAGGCAGCTGCTGATAAGCCTGTGCCAGGTCCAGCTTTGCAAATAATTTGCAAATAATTTGTAAGGATGCCAAAATGTGGCTAACTACAGGTACTGGATACGCATGCTGCTGCAGTGCCTTATTAATAGTGCACTTATACTCAGCGCAGATGCGCACCTCTCCATTAGGCTTGACCAGTGTAACTATGGGGGTTTCCCACACATAGCTGTCAATGGGTTGCAAGACTCCCTGTTGAACGAGCTTATTTAGCTCTGCATCAATCTTGCCCCTGCCAAATTCAGAGTCAGACCCTGCAACTGCTGCACGCATCCTGTCAATCCAGGACTTGCCAGAATCTCCCCTTCACACAGGGGATGTGGCTGCTGAGACAACCTCCGACAAAACTCTCAGCAGAGTTATGAACTGGGTGCTGAGAGGGTGGCCAGGAACCAGTCCTGCAACAGAGTTTCAGAGCTTTATTAGAAGACAGGATGAGCTATCTGCACACAAGGGATGTATTCTATGGGGGAGCAGGGTTGTAGTCCCACACATGCTCAGGGAAAGAGTCTTAGAATCTCTGCATGAGGGACATCCTGGACTAGTCAGGATGAAGACACTCGTGGGAAGCTACCTGTGGTGGCCAGGGTTGGATAAAGATATTGAGGCTCAAGTTAAAGGATGCCAGGTTTGCCAACAGTCTAGACCTGAAATGCCTCAAGCCCCAGTACATTGCTGGGAAACTACGCAAACTCCCTGGTCTAGGATTCACATAGACTATGCAGGACCCTTCCAAGGACAGGTGTTCCTCATTGTAGTGGACAGTCACTCAAAGTAGCAAGTAGCTTGAGGTAGCACCTGTCCCTTCTATGACTACTGCCAGGACCATCCAAGAACTGCGCAGAATCTTCTCCACACATGGCTTACCCGATGAAATCGTATAAGATAATGGGGCACAATTTACTGCTGCAGAATTTCAGTCATTTCTAAGATCTAATATGATTAGACACGCCACCTCTGCCCCTTTTCACCTGGCCTCTAGTGGCCAAGCTAAAAGGATGGTCAGGATAACAAAAGAAGCACTCAAAAAACTAACCAGGGGCGATTGGCATCAGAGGTTGGCAGACTTTTTGCTCTGCCAACACACTACTCCATGCACCAACGGGTTGTAGCCCAGCAGAGCTGAGATGGGGATGTCGGCTGATCACGAAGCTGGACCATTTCCATCCAGACAGAATTGCAACAGAGACAGCGCAGCCCAAGCCCCTGAGGAATTTGCGAGTCGGTGACCGAGTTTGGGCAAGGAACTATGGTCAAGGGGCACTGTGGGTGATAGCTGTGGTTTGTAAGTATTCAGGACCACTCTCTTACGAAGTGGTCCTGGAAGATGGGCACATTTTGCATCGCCACATCAATCAGCTGCATCAGCGGCAGGCTAATCTAACTCTTGCCGCCAACCAAGAGGAGAGCCGAGGATTACCTGACAGCGGCAGTGCATCTCGATCTCCAGAGTCCGGTGCGACTCAAAGAGACATGCTGGATGATTCAGCCATGGGTGGGTCGCTTCCGACTGAAGGAACAGTGCTCGCAGACCAGAGCATGTTGAAGGACTTATCTCTCAGCCTTTCAGGAACTGCTCCGCTCACCGATGGGTGTACAGGTCTATCCAAACAGACGAACCGAAAGAAGATCAGTCTCCTTTGGACAGGCAGTTTAAAGCAAATTAATGCATTTAACTCCTGTGTGTAAGTATTCAATTTGTCCTCCAAGCCAACCTGACTCAGGTTATTTCTTGGAGATATTAAATGTTTAGGATCTATGAGTTAAAGAAAATATATAGATTGCAATAATCTGCTTAGATTTAATAGCTGTTCTCCAAGTTATGTCAGATATAGTTAACGATATGCTCTATTTTTAAGAACTAAATGTAATTCATCTTATGAGTGTGAATTTGTGGCAAAATGAGACCAGTTACAGAGGGATTTAACCAAGTAAATGGTTTTCTTTATCTGTTATATAACAAGCAAGAGGTAGAGCTGAAAGACAACAGTGAGAAATATTATTATAGAAAGAATCTAGACACATTCAGGAAAGACACAGTGACAGAGTAGTATTCAATTTACCATTTAATTACATATCTAAAAGGATTCATCGATACTGTTTTCAAGTACTGTGTTTTGGTCCAGGATATCCCTAGAAGCCTCTCATCCTAGGCTATTTTTTTAATGGTTGGTTGAGATCAAGGAGTGTATTAATTTTATTTAATTCCTTAAGTGCATTTATATATAATTCTATGTAAATAATAATACATTAACAAAGAACAAAGCAAAACCATCAGAAAATTGAAAAGAAAATTTGGGGAATATCAGACATAAAAATACAGAGGACTCTTTAGCTAAAAATTGGTTACAATATCAACGTATCACATTTTTAAGCACACATTTTAATCTTTATAGCTAAGGGCCTTAAATACTCTTACTCCTACAGATGTTAGCACATGGGTATTTTCTCTTTTTCATATGATTAAATGGCTGAGTTTTGTATTTTTAATATTGTCAACAGTTTGAGTGGAACCATATGCTTTGAATGTCATATATATTATGCCTATGTGAATTATCTTTTTATTCTTTTTCTTCTAGTGAAAAAGTTATGGTTAGGGTTTTTTTTAAAGCATTAGCACATCTTGGCATAATTTGTGTAATTGGAAAAAAATGATATTATTGCCAAACATTTGTATGGAATACACAGCAGCACTTTTTATTTTGTTAAACTCTATTCAATTTTTGTGGGCTGTGCTCACATGTATTTTTAATTAGACAATAGACTTTTCCTAAGTTTCTTATTCTTCTGAGTTTGTCATAACTCAAAAATGTTTTTATATATCATTTTTTCCTGCTTTTCATAATGATCAGTTTCCTTTTGCATAACTCTATTGTTTAATACAGGTCAATGTGTTATTTTGGGTATTTTATTTGTAATTTTACTGATGTATACATATGTAAAAATGTTCTACCATTCATAGTCTTCTTAAGAAGAGGTTTTTCATGAAACATTTGAAACATTACAGTCAACTCTTCTATGAAGTATAAGGTTGTACAAGGGTTTTATTACATTTACTGTGTAATGCCTTTGTTGTTGCTGCTACACAGTCTTCCTAGTGAAATAGTTTATAAATTCATAACTACAAAAATAAAAACATGTATATGGACTTCTTTCATTTGCACAACTTTACAGACATTAACTTGTAAAGCCCTTCATAGCTTTATGAAAATACCCTTTCCCATTTATCCCTGCTAAGTTCCAAGTAGAAAAACACACAAATTAATTGGAATTTACCTGGACTTTTGCTTTGCACTCTAAGCAAGGCTGCCTTTGAAGAGCAGTTGGAGAGAATATAGAAACAATGCATTCTTTTTATGGTAACACCTGAGTTAACTTCTGTTTTCAAATTTTATTAGAAGTGCTAGTTTTAACGTTTAATTTCTCAATGGTTTAGGATTACCTTCCCAAGCACAAAGCTGACCAATCACTTATATGGGGGTCAATTCACTTCTTTCTCTTGGCTCTTCCTGCATTTTGGACAGCTCCTAACAACCTCTCCACATCAAGTGGGGATCTCAATAGTTAATACATTTATGAGAACTAATTTGGTGTTGTGGCTAATGGCACCAGGTTTGAAATCTAGAAATGAAGAGTTTAGCCCTGCCTTAGCACAAGCCAATTGGATGACTTTGGTTCAGTCACTTTCAGCACTAGGAAGAAAGTAGTGGCTAACTTCTGAAAATCTACATGCATTTGTCTGGGCAGTCCCCACAAGCCAAAGATAATTTAAAGATGCAAAGAGTAAAAAAAAAAAAAAAGTTTAAATATATAAATAATTGTTCAAAAATAGAAATGAAGGACAGTACAATTGTAAATAGCTATTGTTAAGATAAAATGGGAAGATTGTATTTGGAGAGCAAAGAAATATTAAAAAGTACAAAGACAATGAAATAATTATATCAGAAAGTTTACAGTCAGATGTATAAACTCGTGAGTTATATAAAATGTTTTTCTCAGACTGGGTGCAATTTAAAAGGAAAAAAACACTGATACTTCTGAGAGAGTACAACTGTTAGATCAGCCTGAAACTTGTTTTAGCCTTCAATTGCCAATAAAAAATTATTGCACACTAATTAACATCTGTACTTTATACAGGCTGATGAAATAAAATTTCTAGGCAAATTCTTTTAATTTGTCTTTGGTGGTCCATAATATGGTGGAATTTGTCCCACAGAGGAAGAGTTAATACATAAAATATTAGCATGTGCGGAAATGGACAGGCTCACAATGATATTAAAAGATAAATGTGGATCAATTTATTATGAAACCTGGGATAAATTTTACCACTGGAGGAATTTGAAGAGGACGGTCGGGATTAAAGATGAATGTTAAGATAGAAATATATGTTATTTTATAACAAGTATTGTATATAAAACTTAGATGTATATGTAGAGATGAAGAATTGATTGTAAAAAGTGGAATAATCTGATAAGAATGTATATACTGGAATGTCACGTCAAATCCAATGTTTGTTTGTTTTTAATTGTATTATAAATAAAATTTGAATAAAAAAATATGGTGGAATTTAAAATTTCAGAGGACTCACTAGCATCATACCTCTTTTCCAAAAGAGATCTATTTAGCCTTATATTTAGCAATTATTTTATTTTTTCAAGAAGAAAATGGTAAATATTTTTCTTCTGCTGAGTTTGAGTCAGTGAACAGTATTCAACTAATTCAAAATACAAAGAGGGAGTATAACAATAAGGGGTTCATGGGACAAAATATGCAAAATAAAGGAAATAAGATTGCCACCACTATTATTAATTACTAACTTGCTTTCCTCTAGCTTTTATTTGGAAACCCAGGGTTAGAACCAGACTTAAGACAGCCCCAGCAAAACCAATCACACTTATTATTACTGTTCAAAGTCCCATTCATTTTAATCATTTTGCTTTAAGTGTGGAATGAATCTTCATTTCTGGGAAGATTGTGTTTGAAGTTGAAGCTGAAATTTAATTCAGCCTTCTTGACCCCTGGACCATCCTGACAAATAGGTCATTGGTTGTTGCTTCTCAGTGGTCTTGGTCTTTTGCTGCTACTGCTGAGTGCAAGTCTGGCTTGTCATAAGGCCTTTTTCCTGATCTTATTGTGACTGAGCGGGTCAGTCAAGTGCATGGCCTAGACCTGGATGGATGCAGAAGGTTCCTTCCTTTTGAGAGATATGCCCATCTGAATTCTGAATGTAGCCAAGGCAGATGGTGGTGGTTATAGAGTTATTATCATCCAGGAAGCTTACAGTGATGCTGTCTTTCAGATCCTCTATTTGTGAAGATAGGTTCTAGGAAACAATTAGGACTGGTGCTGATGTACTTCTTCCTTGCTTGAGCTGTTTGATTCTATTACTAGGTTGATAGTAGAGTTTCTTAAACTTATTGTTGTGACTTCAATTTGCATTTCCATGGGATGGACTCTGAAGTGGTTCATGAGTTCATGGCAATCATGAATTTAATCCATATCTTCAAGAGAGCAATGCACACATAGATGGCTACACATTGGATTTGGCCTTCACTTTAGGGAAGTTGCAACATGATCTAATATTTGAGGACATTAACATTTGCCATGATCGGGTTGCACTTGATTGCTTTGAGTGGCAATTCAATTGCTGCTTTAATTAATACATGGGAAGGCACATGATTATGGCTTTAGATCAGATTGCTTTTTGTTAGAGATGTCTCTCCTGACTGATTAATGGGAAATAATGTGTGTTAAGTGCAAACAATGCTGAAGATATTCTTGAAAGAAAGAGGGAAGAAATAAAGCTAAAGAGTTTAGTTTAAGCCTTCAAACCAGATTGCATTTTCCTTGATGAAATTTGTATGCAGTTTGGGATTTTCCTTGATTCATCACTCTTGTTTGAAGAGCAAGTAGCAGTTGCAACTAAGAGGGACTTAACCCAGAGTCATGTTGTGCACCAGTTATGCCCATTCTAAATTGAGAAGTCCTCCTCACCTACTGAAATGCCACCATGAAAATCCCTTAGAAGCTAGAGTTGTTCCTGAATATTACAATGAGAATAGTTACAGTATCACCTTGGTATACCAATGTAACACTTCTACCTGGCAGATTGTATCAGCTGCCAACTGGCTTGTGGAAGTCAAGGTGCTGATGGAAATTTATAAAGCTCTTTAGGTCTTTGAATCTGCATTTTTAGAAGATCACCTTTCTCCAGCATATTTTGTGTCCCATCAATTAAATAATGTTACCACCAAAAATTATATATGAGTACTAAAGTACAGGTTTCAGATATAGATAATTATTTAAATGACGCTAACTTTCCTAAATTAACAGAAGATCAGAAACAAGAAATTAATGGTTTGATTACTAGTGAGGAAATTGAGACAGTAATTAAAGAATTAAAATTAGGTAAAGCACCGGGTACGGATGGTTTGACATCTATTTATTATAAAACCTTGGTACAAGAGATGATTCAACCTTTAAGTGAGCTTTTTAATAATATATTACAGGGTTCAGAGATTCCCCCGTCATGGGGTAGAGCTTTTATATCTTTGATTCCAAAAGAAGATCAAGATCTTACTTTACCAAAGAATTATAGACCT